TTTTTTGTCAAAAAACAGAGTTGTTTCTTCCCCACATGCATAATGACTTATCAGCTATCTTGGGGAGCTTAATGTTTATACTCGTGCAAATTGTTGATAATGGTTTCTTGTTCTAACATTAGTCATAGTTTCATCATGGACCGTTTTTCAATCCCTTATTCGCCTTTACACTGGAAATTCATATATCGGTAAATCTTCTTTTCAATATATTTGGAAGCTATCTTTTTCTTATTTTGACAATTTACAGGAACATGAATATGTGGCTATTTCCATACAGTTAATTAAAATATTCGTCCACCTTGAATCGGGCAATCGCATTTTCATCGTTCTTGCATACACTCCCTAAACACACTTATCCTTCTTTTTTGCAGGGAGTCATGAGAGACCTTAAGAAAATTCCCATTATTGGAAGTGCAGCAACATGCTATGAAGGCAAGTTTCACATTTGCGAAATCACAAAATGTTGTATGTTATCTCACAAAGTTACAAACACCCCTTTTAAGTGTTACAAACACCCCCACTCCTGAGAGTGCAATTTGTTTAAGATATCAAATATGTTAAGGCGATAATTATATTTATTGAAGGATAACTGATAAGATTTTGAAAAGAGGTTGTGGAATTTACATTGTACCTATTAATTTACTTTCTCTCTTTCTGCCCCCAGCTTGATGGTAAAGCAAATGGAGGAGATACAATCTTGCCACCAGCCAACATGATAATGTCTTCCAGTGGCGACAACTGATTTATTGACCTGCTCGGCAGTAAAATTAAGAATTTTCCGGCGGACCAGCCAGCCATTGAAATTTCCCGTTGTAACTGACATTTGTTGCTGTTAAGCAGTAAAATAGTAAAATGTACATATATTTTTGGTACTGAGGGTGGTCAGGTATATGTGGATCAAATATTTTTGGTGGTCATACATGTAACACTACTAGAAAAGCTGCATTTTATCTTACTGACTTTCATGCATAGACGTTTTAACGAAACATTAAATGGAGCTTTTCCATTCGTTTGAGTCTTTAAGCCCTTTGCAATTCAGGTTAAGATTGAGCTTAATTTGATAATCTCGTGATTAGCTCCTACTCTGATCTTTTCTTGAGCATGTTCACTTGTTTCTTTACATTTTTGTGAATAAATTCCTCAGGATGGGATTGGAGATTTATTAATTTACGTCTTTATTAAGTATTAGATAACCTGAATGGCGAATAATCGAAACCTCATCAGCTGCAAATGGAAGAGCCCTTAATGGCATGCATATAATTCTTCTGCCCAGCTCAGTGTGTAAGTAGTCAAATAAACAAAGAAAAAACAGAATGTGGCATGCATATAATTCTTCTGCCCAGCTCAGTGTGTAAGTAGTCAAACTAACAAAGAAAAAACAGAATGTGCAATTTGTGCTGCCACTAAAAAGACACACGGTTATTGTTGCTACAAAATTCAAGAGTTCCAGTAGCATTTTCTTAGAAGTATTTGACAACGTTACGCCTCAACCAGAGTTGGTAAAGGATCATGTGGAATGTGTCGAATTTCAATGGGACTGCGTTCCACTGGAAATGTTTCTGCACCTGATGCACGTGATTAAAAAAAAAAACAAAGATTTATAGTTGTAAAAAGTAGAAACCACCCTTGAGGTTCAACCTGATAACAGAGTCATAATCACACTTGGTTCTAAATTCTATGTTGACAATAACAATCCTAATTAGTCAATTTACCTCGAGTAGATTGCTATGCAATATTCTGTAACTTTTACCAACTTTGGCCTTCAAAATCTTCTTGAGCTTAAAAATGTCTCTTTCTTTCACTATTACAGAGAACTTCTGCCAATCGAGAACATTGTTGAACGGCAAGTGAAAATGATCTGCCAAGATTACTATAACAACATATGCCAAAAAAAGTGATTCCCATTACCTAAACCTTACCTTTAAGCCAACAAATTGATGATAAATTTTGCAGCAAATAAATTTTGTAAAACATTCAATTACCAGGTACACATCCATAGTGAATAGCCATTGCGATGCGATTGCTATTGACCGTTGAGCCAACAGGGCAGATGCAAAACTTGGACCGGTAAAATTTTTCCATTCTGTCAGAAGCATAAGCAGTTGAGTTCTGGATATCAAGTTCCTTATCTTTCCCCCAATGCTTCACCAGTTTCTTCCTTGTCTTGGAATTGCGGTTCCCTGCCCAATAACCAAGTATTGACCTGCCCCACAAGAAAAA